ACCTACTGCTAGTGTTTAGTTGTCTAATTGTAAACGGATCTGTGATTTGCCAAGTGATGAGTGTTAAGTGATAAGTGCAAGCTACAAGTGCAAGTAAATCAAATTGTGTTCTATTTTTCTGTAACACTCAACATGTCAAATTAACATTTGACACCAAACACTTGCAGTTAACAAAATGTAAACCGGCCATAAGCGAAGGGAATTTTATTAAGAATCACAAAATTTAGTCAAATAAAAACTATGAACAAAAAAAAAGTAGTCGTTAATGACAATGTTTTGCAAGATTTTAGTCAGATTATTTAATAAATTAATAAATTAAAATATCAAATTTGAACAAACAACACGTGACTGAGAATGCCATCTCATTGGCTAAAGCCGATATTCATGCTTTTGTTGCCACATTCAAAAATGCGAAATTTAAATGATTTCAACGATTATACTTACCAATCCTTAATTTTTTTATCGCGGATTAATGGAAAGTTAGGCATTTTCCGGAAAGTGACGTCATTTTCCGAGGCAGTACAAAAATTCGATTTTCAAATCGTTTTATTTCCAAAAATAATTTGTTTTTTTTTTGTGAAAAAAGTATACAGATGTAATTAGAATGACTAACACAATAATTTAAAACTGTTTTCGAAAAATGTGAATTGGCCCATTCTGATAACTAAACCAAAACGGACACTGACAAAGACAGAGCAAGCATTACGCGCCAGGGGTGCGTTCACATTAATTATTATCTAGCGACGTCCGACGCGTCCAAAGTCGTTCAGATTTAACACGACAAGTTTTAGCAGCGTTCAGATTAGAAATAAGGTAAAACATCCAACGCTCTGCCAGTTTTTTTTTTTTTTGATGATGTGTAAACATCTATAGTGGCGATTTGAGGGAAAATTTCGGGAAATGGGATGGAACTGTGAAAGCGGTTGTGACATCATTACACATGCGCAGTGATAAGTGAGCGGCTACTGGCACTGGCGGCATAAGGTGGCATTAGATTTTCATGTCGATGATCAAGGTTTTTTAAAAGAGGAGGTTGCCTCATAACTTTTATATAGACAATATAGCGCCCTTTCGCTTTTGTTGCATATTTTCCTCAGCCACGCATATTCACGCGTTTTGCTGCAATGTCAGGGCGCATCTCATCTACCTCATAAACTGCTTCATACCACATCCATATGCGCGATAACTATATCAAGTGATAACCTTGCTGAGCTAATTGTGGGTACCTAAGACGATTATGTGATTCCTGAAAGTGTGCTAGCTCAACCAGTGATTGTGCTAGATTGTGCTGGGGGGGGGGGGGGCTAGCGTTAAGTTAAAAAATATCCACTGCTGGGGGGCGGGGGGGGGGCAACTTACCGCACCCTGTTTGAGATCACTTTCTGTATTTCATTTTCAGCTCCACTGCCTTCATTTTCCTCACCAATTTCTACTACTTCCTCTTCATCTTCCAACTCTGTGTCTCCTCAATTATCTGCAACTTCTGATCTTTCTTCAATAGGTGCAGCTTTTGTCTATGGGTCCTTATTGTCACTATCGATTCTCTGTTTTTATTTCAATTAACTTCTCCTGAGGCGATGGTTTTTCTAGTAGAAACGTTAGAACAACTCTCTGTCTCAGCGTTTTTTTTTTTTGTGTGTTTTATTGGAGTAACTCCAATAAAAGATAGAGTTTCTGTAATGCTCTGAACTATTGCACAGAATGGGAAGTTTAACCATATTTGAATTTCATTCCTTTATTATTTTTAATCAGTTGTATGAACCAAAATAAAAGTAGTTTGCTTCCAATTGGCTTTAAAATGTCCTATTTTTTTGATAAATAATTTTTAATAATGGTGTTTTCAAACGTACTGGAATGGCGCCATTGTATGACGTAGATACCCAAGCGACCAATGAGAATCGTTTACAATGGCTTTGACGCTTTATTTGTCTAAGATCTGAAGAGTGACAATGACGAAATTCCTTATTCGTTATTTGCACTTTGTTCGTTTAATACGCTGTCGAACATAACCTAATTTTATGTTGATTTTAGGAGTGTGTTGATTGTGTTTTTATTCTCGCTTTTAAAAATATTTCCAATAGGGCTCTGTTATACTCCAGGTTTGTTAGGTACTTATGGGAACTTTTATATTCCAAGTAACGAAACACAGTTCCAGAGTACAAGATTAAAAAAACAAACCAAAACAAAGCGGTTTACATTATTTATCAGCAGACAATGCGACGTTGCCAAACTGACTGTCGTGATTTCTTAAAACTAAAATGTTGTCAGGGTATATATCCTCTCTCAACACTACAAAAAGTATTGTTGTACAACGTACTAACAATTAAAAAAATTACTACTATAATTTTATTACTGTAGTCCACCAGAATACCAGAACAAGGATAAAAACCAGCCTTTAGAAAGGCAATTTTGGAAATCAACAATGGCAACGACATTCTGACAACGTTAGAATATTTACTAATTTGCAGTATAATATTGATAGTTGTGGCAAATGACGTCATATTTGGCGGGTGTTTTGGGCGTTTGAAATGCTGCTGAATTTATATTCTTTATAGAAAATTGACGACCACTCAAATGTTCCCCAAAATAGTGTTAATACTTAGTTTGTGTTCTAGAATTAGAAAAAAAATCACTATATCTCCTCATTATATTGTTGGGCAATGACTTTTTGTTTTTGAATAACATCGTTGTGGCCTTGATAAACACCTTAAATTTTTTTATAGTAGGTTATTTTGGGTTAGTACCTGCCTACCAACCTATCTAATTTTTTCCAGAACTGCCAAAATGCAGGGGTGCATAACGAAGCAATTATTGATGACGCTAGGTCATCGATTTCTTGTTCAGTTCGAGAAGATATAGGTATTTTCCGATGCAGCAGTGAGTAACGTCACCATCCGTTTGTCTATATTTAAAAATAGGTCAACAAATATCAAACCATGAGAATCTGGCCCTGAAGATGATACAGATACAGAGGTTTAAATTCTACAAAATTTCTCATTTAGAACACTACCATATTTCTTGCTCTTGGTATTAGAAAACTTTCAAATGTAATAACATCAAAATTTCATAAATATCGTTTTTTTTTTTTTTCAAAAAATAGAAATTACAGAGATAAATACGATTTGATAAAATTAATGGTACAAAAGAATTGACATAGAACACCTTTTGCATCGGATATTTCACGATATTTCAATATCCTAGGAACAATAAAATAACTGCACACAAAACTCAATTCTAATAAAATAACTTTTTTTATATTACAAACCTGTGTAGCATACAGCGTCGTTTTCTAAGATTTGGCTGGCGAGGGGCGATAACATAAATCTGATGATGCAAATTAATTTTGTCAAGTGTTGACAAATTGTCATCTTCCGAATTATTACTAAGCATTATTACTATTAAGTCGAGATAAATAAAATATTTTGAAATTATATCTTTTGCTCTTATAAAATATATTTTCTAATTTCATGAGAACAGCCCATTAACCTGAAGTTTCAAAGTTTAAAGTTCTTGCCTTCGTACAATAGGGGGGCTGAGCGCTGTTTTCTAGCCCATGTACTTTGGAAAGTTGTCTATTTCACAGTTCTGCACATCTGTTGACTCCCTATTCTACTTTTTCGTTTTATATTTTGTTACATTTGTATGCTGAAGAGTTGTTTAATTTTTTTCCGTCTTCTGTCATATGTTACATTCGCACATGCAAGAATTTAGTAGGTAGGTTCCTATAAAATTGCCAAGAGACCTAACAGTTAGGAAATTATTTGGCTAGGCAAATCAAAAATATAAATAAATTGAATCCGAGTAAATTTCAACAGTGTATTTAGTTGAATTAAGCTACCATTATTTTTAGTATGTGTGATAAAAAAAAAATATATAAAAATATCATATTGAGGAATACTTATCGTTAGGGCTTCCCTTAAACGGTTGGTATGGAACTGCCAGCTATTACCGACTTTAGATAAGAAATCGATAACATTGGTAATTTGCGACCAGTTTCGAAAGTTTACGAGGCATTCCGATGCAAGATCAATTATGTTTTTAGGATGTGAAAGTAAAGTATGTTCTTGCAAAAAAAAAAGAATACAGTGGTTGTAGGTATTAGTTCATGTTGTTGTATGGCTCAAAGATTTTGTAAAAACAATCACACTCTAACAACTATTTTGCCACAGCCAGTTTTTGAGGAATGGATGGAAGCAAATACTCTGCATACGAGGAGAAACTCACTGAGAACATTACACAAGATTGTTAAAAAGTTGTGTAGTGTTTCTAAGGAAACAAAAACACTATGATTCTCCCTTTTATTGATTTAATTAGATATTTTATCACTCTTATTTTAATTTTACTCGTGACACATTTATTTTTCATATAATAGTTAATAATAGCTACGTACCTACCTACCTACTAATATATAATTTTTTTCGAAATCTTTATTTTAAGGGTCATAACCGAGGTCATACCTTATTATACAGGTTATCAAATTATGTGGACCAATCTGCAGCGACAGTGATACAGGGGGGAGCCGGGGGAGGAAAGTGAGGGTCTTCCCAAATAATGTCGGCCGAGTTGGTGAAAAATCGTAATAGTTAGTAAAACTCCCTCTACCTATAGTTAATTATTCATTGAAATGAATCCCTGCAGCGTCTTTTTTTTAGAACGAAGACTAGTTGGGTGATTTTACCTACGCCACCTGAGATTGAGATCTCATAGTTTCAAGCAAAAAGGTCAAAATTTACAGAAATAGTAATTAATTTTCTTCACTCTCACGCCACTGGTGAAATTAGATTTTTTTGGCTTCTTTAATAAAATTATGCCCTTTTGCATAGTCTAATTTTGGATTACTTTCGGTTTTAGAATACCCAGAATATTTAAGTTTTTAATACAATAACAATTAAGCTTGTGACATTTCTATCGACTGGCACTCTACTATTTACTTATTTTATCATATTCACAATTGTTATGTCATTGCAAGAAAAGTAAACAAGTCAAGCGTTCCATTTAATCTCAACTCGACGTAGAATCTACTTGATAAGTTAATAAATATATGTATATGTGAACAAAACTGAACCATTTAACAGTGAGTACCTACATACTTGAAACCAGTAACAGCCGGACTAAGTAAAAGTTGAAATGTCGTGTCCAATACCAAATAGAAAAATTGGAATTGTTGGCAGGTAAAATTTCTATCTTTAATATGTACTTTGTAGTATTGTTATCAACTACCTATATTAGGTAAATGCATAAAATCCGCAACATTATGCACCATATTATGACTATTATAGTCAAGTATAATATTTAATATTGTGCAAGTGTTTACGACAGTCGTTTGCTTTAAGAATGCTACAAATTTTAAATAGGCCAAAGTGAAAGCTTCCTATTTATCTTTATTATTATCTCTTTTGTTATTCTTCAATTTTTTTTTTCAAGCGGATTTCAGAGATTTATTTAATAATATTATGTCAAACTTTACAATAAATGTATCAAAAATCCTAGCGTTCTTCCATAAATCTGGCTTGGGTAACCTAAATGGTGTTTCTCATCTTTCCATGAAGCACTTTTTTATCTATTAATTGAAATTCGAATCCAGTGGAATATTATTTGATAGTTTAAATAGACTCTGAAAAAAGAAAGGTGAATATTGGAGATTTAAATTTTGCCATTGATGTTGGATCCACTAACATGAGTGACCCTGTATCTTTAAATTTTACCTCAACTGAAAATAAGATACGACGATTGCAAGGATTTTCCCGAAAAACAATTGAGCAACAAAATAATGAATTTCTACGTACTTTATAATAATTCTTAAGTATAGGATATACTATAATAATTCTTAAGAATATGTTATTTATAGTGGGGATGGAGCCAGTTATTAAAAGAAAAAAAGAGACTCTTTTATCTTCTGAAAGCTTTCGCAATATACCTATTCCTTATACCTTCTATACCCTATATTTATAACATATTGTCCACGTTTAGTCAAAAAAATTTAAAATCTGTTTACATGTTTCTACAATTTTATACCATCTCAATGAAATCTTTACCAACTTAGTACTCATAATCTGTAAGTAGCTTTAATAATTTATATTTAACTTTATATTTATATTAATTAATATGTTTTTAGTATGACTGAAGAAGCAATAAAATATATTGCGAAAGCTTCCAAAAGATAAAAGAGTCTATTTTTTTCTTTTAATAACTGGCTTCATCCCCACTATAAATAACATATTCATATAAAGATTAAAGCCACGTTAATACCTAATATAATTCTTAAGTACCTATAGGATATTTTAAAAATTATTTGTCATTAAAAAGATATCAAAATTATAAAAATTTAGGAAGACATTTGGAAATGTCCCTTATTTTATTTTTCGAAACTTCTGAATGTTATTTCTGCCTGCTGTAATTAAACTTGTTATTTTAGTGGTCTTATTGGAAGGTCATGGGCCATGTTGTTTGCCTCTGTGGGATACAAAGTACATATTTACGATATCTCATCCGAGCAAATTAATTTAGCTCTTGAAGATATCCAGACACAATTAAATTCTTTGGAAAAATCCGGTTTATTACGGGGAAGACTTACTGCCGCCCAACAATTTTCATGCATTAAAGGTAAAATATGTTTTTTATTATTGTTACAAAATATAAAGTGTCAGTTTTTCAAGGTACTTCAAACCTAGAAGAAGCAGTTAAAAATGCATTGTTGGTTCAAGAATGCGTGCCCGAAAACTTGGAACTCAAAAGAAAAGTATGGAAAGCAGTTGATGGCGTTGCTGGTCCAAATACTATTTTCTCCAGTTCCACTTCAACATTCTTACCATCAACGTTAAGTGACCATTTGACTCATAAGTAAGTAATTCTATTATTTGGACTAACTTCGCCCAACCATTTGACTGCTTTTACCATGACCATCAATAATTATTCCAGAGAAAATATTATTATATCGCATCCAGTGAACCCACCTTACTATGTACCATTGATAGAAGTAGTACCAGCGCCATGGACAAATCCAGACGTAGGTAAAAAAGTTACAAAAATCATGGAGGAAATTGGTCAAACCCCTGTTTTATTTACAAGGGAAGTTCCTGGATTTGGTATCAACAGAATCCAGTAAGTGAAATACAGGATGAGATTTTTGAGACAGTAACAATGCGATATCTAAAGAATAGCTTCAAGTTTTTTTTTCGAATTTCTGACATGTCATTCGAAGAGAAGGGGGGCATTCTGACATATTTTCCATTTCCGCAACTCCAGAGCTCGCTTCTTGACGTAGACCAACTTTCCATTGTCGCAAGGATTGGTGAATATTTTTTTTTTTTTTTTAATTCCTAATAATTCACGTCAAAAACTTAGTATTTTAATATTTCTCAAGTTTTATCAATACAGTGATTGTTTCACTCTGTAATATTTCTTGAATTACTAATTTTAGTTCAATGAGAAAGTTTTTCAAATTCATTTTATAAACAAGTGGTGAAATTGAAGTCGACATATTGTTCATTCTGGTAAATAGCATATTAGAAAACATGCCATCAACGGGAGTATGAGCCAGTATTCAGTAGGTACCTATTTAAAATGTTATCCAGGCACCATTTCCACCCATATAATAGGTACTGATTTACGCCAATGATTGCTGGAGCAAGATTTGTAATTCATTTTGTAAATTGGAACAAAGAAAAAAAAAAGAAAACCGCTATGCAACTATATAAACCCACATGCAAGCAAAGTTTTATAGATGGATTGGCCGGAAAGTCTCAATGAACCGTTCCACAAGATCAGATTTTTCATGGGGTATTATTAGCAGTCCTAAAAGTTACGATTTCTGCGCCGCCAATAGAGAAAGTAAGAAAGGAATTCGCTTACTTATATTTCTTTTGGTAACTTACGAAATGCTGGTGACCGAAGGAAGACATTTCGATTACGTACCTTCAAAAACAAAACAGAAGTTAGTAATATCCTATAATTTTTTTTTTGTTTTAGATAGTTTTAATGTAACTATAAATTATACTTGTTATCCCTCAAATTTTTTTACTGTAATTTTTGTGAAAAGTACAAGTCTGGCAAAGTTTCAGAATTTCAAATAAAATGTAGGTATATACCAGTTTACTTGAGATTGAGAATTGAAAATTGCCCTTCGCGGAGAAATGAGTTAGGGAGTTACGTTAACGGAAAATACGTTGAGGTGCGTCCCCTGTATCCCAATGACATGTCTAAATTTTAAAGACAAATTTGAAGCCATTCGTTGGATATCGCAACGCAACAATTTCAAAATCACAGGATACACGTTAATATATTTTTCAGATATGCCCTTTTGAATGAGACTTATAATCTTGTCAATGACGGAATTCTTAGCGTACAAGATATCGACAAGATTATGGCCTATGGATTAGGAATGCGATACGCTTTCCTTGGAACATTAGAAACGACTCACCTCAACGCCGAAGGTTTTACCAAGTACTGTGAAGCCTATTCTAAAACAATATTCGCAGTAAGCAGTGACTTCAAGCCCGTTCCGAAATTTGAAGGACCTACAGTTGCGACAATTGCTAAGCAACTGGAAGAACAAATACCACTCGACAAATTGCAAGCAAGAAGAGCATGGAGAGATAAATGTTTGACAAAACTTAGTCAATTGAAAAAAGAGATGGATGAAGAATGGAAAGAACAATGTCAATAACTTAATAGGTCTTGCGAAGTTATCTCCAACTGTCGTGGAAGATAATGATATGTCCATTGAAAAAAAAAAAAAAAAACATTTTTCCTTTTCTAGTTTTTTCTTATGTCCTCTTAGGTGCGCGTTATATTGAAGACAGAAGTTCCAATTAGGTATCCTTACTGTCGTTTATGTCTTTTACATAATATGGGTTCTATATTCTTTGCATATACTCTAGTTATGGTCTTATGTATGTCTTATGAAGCTTTAGTCTCTGGACAGTTTTTTTCGAAGGATGGCTTTTTGACTGAAGTCAGCCGGCGTCTCCTATGGTACCTATAGCTATTATGGGAGTTTGTTCTTCCTACATCTAGTATAGTGCACTTTGTTCTACTTAGTGGTATTTGCCATGTTTCTGTTCATTTCTTTATTTTACTGAGAGCACTGTACTTGTCGTTAGCAGGCAAGGGTAGTTGTCAGGTTGTTTATGATAGTATAAATAACAAAGTTAAAATTATTTAACCCTTTGGCACTTCACTGCATTCTTCTCAGCTGTTGGAGAGAGAGGCGCCTACTCTCACCTACTTGGAAGATTCTACCTTGGATAAGATCACGGACTTCTCTAAAGAGGATCAGCTGATCCAACATCCTCTTTTAACTTAAAAGCGCTTTTTGAAACGGGTACCTTTAAAAAATTGTATGGCTTAGAATACACATTTTTAAAAGTGACCAGTTTTAAAAAGCGCTTTTAAATTAAAAGAGGATGTTGCATACAGCTGCATGTCGATCTCTTATTCGTTATGGTCTGATTTTATTGGCCGGAGGGATAAGTACCTACGTTATCATAAACCTTTCCAAAATCCATATAAACAGCGTCTATTGGAATGTTTTTTCGTCCATTGAGTAGGTTGGTAAAAGTATAACTTCCCAGCAAAGAACCATGCTGAGAGTTGGGAATTGAGTGGTGTTCTTCTAATATAATTTCTTCCATACATTCACAGATTGAACTGGTTAGACTATCAATCTGTAATAAGATGATGGCTGGAGTTTTTCCGCTTTTTTTAAGATTGGGACTACAATTTAGGTATTCCATATTTCTGTAATAAGGGCCCCGCCCCAGTCACGATAGTTGGTAAAATCATAGCTTCGGACTTCAGTGCCTTTGAACAGTTTGGAAGAAAAAAATTATAGAATTTTGTAAGGTCTGGATTCTGCTATAAAATTGGTCTCCTGTACTGTATCTGGAGTACATCGTATGGAGCGCAGCTCGGGTAGGTGAGTTGCTAGATTGTTGTCTTCTTGGGTAAATAATCTTTGAAATTGCAAAGCATCAGTTAGCTATTTCATCCTCATTGTTAGGTAATCTGATTTGTCATTATGCTTTCAAGCAAAAAATTCCGGAAAGGATAACGCACGGCTAACATGGGATTTATGGGTTCTATGGATTTTGCCAACCTTTTGATAATATATCGTAGAGAATTTAATTCTAAACAACCTTGTCAGACCAAATCTTGTACGTGTTACGGTTTGTAAGATGAACTTTTTTGCACAGAAATTAGTTTGTAACAATATTTTGGAAGCTGCGATAACCTATAAACATTTGTGAGTCGCGTAAAATATGTTGACCTGTCAGTATTTTGACAGACAAACATCAGTTTTTCGTATATTTTTTTATGTAGAAAAAACCATTTCTAACTCTTATATCTCACAAACCGTAATACGCACAAGATTTGGTCGCATATAAAGGCTGTTCAGAATTGAATCGTCTACGACATATCAAAAAATTAGTAAAAATCCATAGAACTCAAAAATCCCATATTTGCTGTGCGTTATCCTTTGAAGTTAGGTATTGTTCTATACTTAGGTTCTACTGTGTGTCCCGCTTAAGGACTGACCACCCTTCTAAAATTTTTATTTTTCAGCCGATTTAATTCAATTTTTTTTTATTTTACCTAAAGTGCGACAAGTGAGTGAACCTTTGTGGAAGGAATGCTGGCATAACCCTCCTGATTGGCCCGAGATTAAATATACATATAAGTACGCGGGTCGTCGCGTCAGGGTAAACGCAATTTTCGCAATGCACCACGTCGGGGACCCGTCGCGTCGTATAGTATAGGTTTTCGTCTTCCCCTCTGCTACTTCATACGTTACCAAGGTTCACTCACTTGTCGCACTTTATATCTACTCGAATTTGGCACTTTACATAATTTTATTTCTGCGGCTGCACTGGTGTACAGGGTGTCCACATTTATAGGCTCAAATTCCAATAAGTACTATTAGGGATTTTTTTAGAAAAAATCTGATAGCAGATTCTTATTCAGAATGGTCTAAAACCCAAATGTACTAATTTTTGTTTCAATATATATGATACAAGGTGATCACAACAAGCTTTCAAAATTTAATGGACCAAACCGAAAAAATGTCATATTTTGAGGACTTGAGAACAACAAAACTTGATACAACATAGTTGTAGAACATCCTGAACCAAAACTTGTAGTAACCCACTAAGCAATGTAATATTGCTTTAATATTTTAGTAATGTTTCTAGGTAATATTGAAATATTTTCATAAGTGCAAGGTTTCTGCAATTACTGAAACGGACTTATTCTAATATTCACAAATGCAATGTTTACAAAATAAACTTTTCTGCAATATCGTCTCAATCTTGTATTTTCATAAAAAATAAATTACGTTTGTAACATTTAAAATGCTAGCTTACAGAAACCTGCATTTAACGTTGTTTATAGAGTTAGGTAAATATTACAGTTGCAATATTTTTATTGGTACTTTACAGAAATTTAAATAATGAAATATTGTATATATGATAGATAATTATTATATTTGCATTAATGCAAGATCCTTTATTTTTCCCTTTTCTGCAAGTCCAACTACAGACCGGGGCACAATGGTTAGTTAATAAACTTCCAATTTCCAATTGATCTTATCACATATGCCTCGACTCCTCCAACATAGGTATGGTAAAAAATCCACCTAAAATTAAAAATTAAACAGTATTGAAAAATCACAAAAAATTAAAATGGTAAAATCTTACAACATTGGCTTTATTCTCTTCCTCTCCCAACATCTCAAGATCTTGATGAACCCTTTCGTCCTGTTCAAACTCTCTGTTTTTATTTATCAAGCCAAGCCAAGAAAAACAAAGCGTCGTCTGCGTCCTCCGTCCTAGCGTCGTTTCTGGTGGCGTGGCGTCAACAACAAATGGGTGGTGCGTCTGCGCCGTTCCGAATTCCCAAACAATTGTCCCGTCTTTGTCAGTCAATTATATTTTTGCATGACAGAGATAAAGACAAAGACAGCATATTGCAAATAAAATCTATCTGCAAGTTTTATGCAACATTGAGAAAATTTATGTTTCCTATCCCAAAGTTTATGTTGAAATATTTAGGTAGCGTTTTTTATTCTTAAAACTGTTAACGTAGGCATGTAAAGGTATCTGCAACATTACAGCGACGCTTATAAAAAAAGTTGAGCTTATAATATTTATGCAACCATTTATTTTATTATATTTTTTTAATGTTACAAGCGTAAATATTTCCGCAACATTGAAGCGACAGAGTTGAGAAAAGTTACATTTTATAACATTGTTATAATATTTGCTTTACTTTCATTTTATAATGTTTCGAATGTAATACATTATTGTATCTACTGCAACATTTACTTTATAACTAAAACGGATGTTTCTCTATTGAAGTTATATCAAATTTATATCCTTTTACATTGGGTAAGTAATATTTTAGAAAGCTTATCGTCACATAACCTAATAAATTTTCTAAGGCAAGGTCAATGCAATATTGCCGACAAATTTTGCAACATTCTTGTCTCAAAATATAACATTTTAGCGACTTGATTCATTAAATTGTGGAAATTTGTTGTCATCAGCCTGTATCGGATCGAAAAAAAAATTAGTACATTTGGTTTTTAGACCATTTCAAACATGAATCTGCTATTAGATTTTTCTCAAAAAAATCCCTTATAGTACTTATTGAAATTTGAGCCTATAAATGTGGACACCCTGTACACCAGTACAGCCGCAGAAATAAAATTATAAGCCTAATGAGTGCCAAATTCGAGTAGAAATAATACAAAAAAATAAAATAAAAATTAATTGAATCGGTTAAAAAATAAAAATTTTAGAAGGGTGATCAGTCCTTAAGCGGGACACACTCTATATACCTAGGTAAAGTAAATTATTTTGTCAGATTCTATTAGTGGATTTTGTTCATATTCCTTCCTGGCTTGGTTTAGGATTTGATTTTCTACATTGTTTTGTTGTTGATAATGCTTCATATACAGTCTTTGCTTTTTCCTTTGGTTATCCTATAGTTTTCTTTTTTTATTTGTTAGATTTCATTCTTCTTTGTCAAGCCAAGGTTCAAGGTTTCTGTGGGTTGACTAGCTCAGAAGCGGATTTTCTTGAAAATTCTAGAAACTTCTATATGACTCTATTTGGAAACCGTCAGTGATAAAAAAATAGTGTCTTTATCACTGGCTTCGACATCGAAAAATGAGCTCACAAGCAGATTTTATTAAAAATTCTAGAAATTTCTATAGAATTCTATGTGGAAACCGTAAGTTATACAAGAATAGTGACTTTATTACTGATTTCGACATCTAAAAACAAGTCCGCAGACAAATTTTTGTAAACAAATCGTGTTCTAGTTGGACATTTGCCTTCGCCACAGATCTTTAGATTCAAATCAAGTTTCAAGAAAAATACAGAATATTGGGTTGGTTTTCTTTGCTTTCCTAGCCACACTGATGAGATCTGATAGATCGAAACGCGTCTGTGGATGGAAAAGCGAGGAAAATTAACCCACATCTTCACATTCTGTGTTAATATGAAGAACTTGTTTTTCCTATTTGGGTTGCCCCCACGAATTGAGTTTTGGTCGGTCTATCGACGATTAATTAGTGCTAATACAGCAAAATGTTGTTAAGTGTCGCATTCAAGTCTTAGATGTCGTCACGACCAAAAGTCTCCCATCATAGAGAATATTCTGTGTTCTTCTCACGACAGCAAACCGCCGAAATGGAGAAGGTTAATCAAATGCTGGTGTACCTT